AAATGACAACCAGGGCAAGAAGCGAGATTGAAACCGTGCTAGAAATGATAAAACAATTAAATGAAGTTTGCGAAGAAAGAGGCGGAAAATTATTAGGAGATCAAGATAAGAGACAGGAATCTAAGAAAAGAGTTATAAAAAAGAGGCGTAATATTTAAAAAAAGAATAAAAATAAAATTGATTGAAGACAACATCGATGAAGCTGTTGGAGATATATCAAGAGATTACAACAACAAGATTGAAGAAGTACAGAAAGGTTGTAATAACAAAATTGAAATACAAAAACCAATGACAGAATATAGCATTTGGAAAAAGAATTGGTAAGTGCAAAGATCAAGCCAGCCACATTTATTTCTACATCGACCAAGAGTTCCAAGCTAAAATACCATTTACTATCATAAGTACAGTAATACTTTTAGTAGGAATAGGGCAGATACACAATACATGCAATACAAACTATTTACTGACATACACCTTTAACAACCAAATAATAAATCTTCAAAAGTATTTGAGAGACACCCTTAGGTGATAAACAAACCAAATACAAAATTACAAGTCATAGAACAATTTGAGAAAGTCAACAGAGCAGATAAAAAATTTTTCACAAAATCACAAATTTCTCAGTCTCACTGACTGGTTGACATTATTGAATGCTTCTAGCTGTGTAAAAAACAGACTTACTACAGTTGTAAATGCACTAAATAGAACAATAGCACAGGGGCCACGTGTTAGTGCTAGCGTGAAGTAGTTAATTAAATTAACTAACTTATCAACCCTTAGTATATGCACACAACCACAACTCACACTACATCACCCAAATGACATTTCACACTACAGAGTGTGCTATTACATGTACATCACACATGCGCACTCACAATTTTTACGCACACCATAAGTGAAAAGAATGCATACCACACACATACACCATTATTTTCACATACTGTAATATTATGGTGCACACTCATATTGATGATATACATAAAAGATATCAACACAAATTAATGAATGATACGTAAGATCATGTCACCTGGTATGAAATAAGTGCATGAACAAATGGAAAAATATCTAAAAAATTGAAAGTGTAGAAATGGGTGCTTCAAAAAGTGAGAAAACAAGGTAGGAATGAGCATGGTCTAATAAAACTTCCTCTGTACAACTTCACAGGGGGGCATGTCCAACATTCGGTCCATGCCTAATTCATTTTTCTGTATTCATAATATACAACTTATGGGTACATACAAAAGTGTGTCTATGATTCTTCTACTTTTTTATAGGCAGTAACGAATGACGTTGATACACAGAAAGCTATTTGTCTTTGTATTTTAATTGACCTATATATGTAATGTACGAAATCCTGTTGCCTTCTCATGCAATTGCAAAAGGAGGGACAAGTTCTAAAGAAAAAAAACAGAAATTGTGGGTCCTCATGAATGTCTTATTATTTTGGTGTCGTATAAACAGACTTTACGGTACATGCATTGTCTACAATAATTCGACTTACAGAAACCTGTAGTCTTTGTATGATAAGCATAACTAAGTTGATAGATTTAGTCCACCTGACTTATTGTATACATGATAGAAAAATAAACGAAGTAGGCATGGACAGGATGTTGGACACTCTCCCTTGTGAGGTTGTAAGGAGATATTTTATTACACCATGTACAATCTACCTTGTTTCTTTTATTGGTGCACCTATTCCCACACTTTGATTTTTTTAAATACTTTTTCCACTTGTTAAATATGAAAACATATTTGTTCTATAGCTGTTACCACAACTACTTTGCCACCTGTGGCTGCAGAACCTTCTTGGACTACTCCAGTCACGACCTGCCAAGTCAAATTCCAGAATTTCGCTGGCTAATTCAACAACATCGCCCAACTGAGAAACTAACGGACTGTGAAGGAGAGGTACCATGGAAGATATATCAGGCTCAGTTCGAAATTATTTTTAAAGTAAACAGGTGGAATATTGAACATAATGCTATTCATCTTGCTGCCCATTTAGCTGAGAGCTGTAACAACTATCAAATATTGGTAGCTGCCTTATCCAACAGGTTCCGAATGACACACCGAAGGAAAGTATCTAAGGAAAGTTCTAGAGCAGAGTATGGCGAAAAAAGTGGTCTTAGCTGAACTTGAGGAAGAGTTGGAAAGACTTGCCCAGTTATTTGTTATTTAACTTGGGTACTCCACGTAAAATAATTGTCAAGTTACCAACTTATAGACGCCATAAATTACAAGGATATACGAGATAGGCTGAGGCAAAGTCGCTGTACATCACTAAAAGAAGTTATTTTGATGGTGATTGAACTTAAAGCAATTAAAAGTTACAGACAAATAAACTAATTTATTTCTTCAATAATGTTTGCTTCCGGCTACATTCGCTTTGACACAAATTGTATGCCTTAGTTCACAAACAACATTTTATGTCTAACTTACTTACAAACTTGCTTATAGGGTTCCTATAAGAATTCTAACAAACAAATATCTAAGTTAAAACATTGAAAATGTAGCTTACAATTTGGTTTGAAATTTTGGAAAACGTCAATGCGATATATCCCATGTCACGTATCTATTTTATCGAGTTGTTAAAAATAACCACCATGATGTGTTGTAGAAGCTTTATCGATCCTTCGAATTATTTTACCTAGTATATTATGTAGTGTATATATATATAAACATATATATATAATCAGATATCAGAAAAAATTTCAAAAATGATTGATTTTAATGAATTATATCTTTATTTGTGAAAGTATGCATCCATATCTTACTTGTAAAAGCTGTTATGACAAGATACAGGCTATGATTTTTTGTAATATTGTTTAATCAAAATATGCTAAATGAAGCTGTATATGCGATTATTTCATTGCTGTAGTTTTTAAATAGATTATTTGACTAATATACTTGTATTATAGTACAGCAGAATTGCTGAAACATTGTGCAGATTTGGATACCAATGTGACACTTTGCAGTATAATAGGCAAGATGAAGCTGATTATTTTCTGATATAGTACCATTTACACATTAGCTGCAGGACCATTTAAACATATTATATAAATCTATTATTTACCACATGTTTTCAGTGTGTTTTCCTTATTATTTTGCAAAAGTAAACATAGAATGAAGCAATAAAATGTACGCATTATTTGGTACTTATCAAACTAGAAAAACATCCCGAGTAACACCTGGAAAAAGACACTTCTTTCCCAGAGCTTTTAACGACTGTCATAGACTCTTCAAAATGTATTACATGTCAAACTTTTACAGAAGTATGTTTCCAGTGTCTTTCAAGGTCCAAGAGAAAGAAGTCTGGTGTAGGTTACAGAACCATAAAGTAGAATCTGCAGGGGCTTGCTGAGGTTCATGTCCGTAACATTGAAGTTAGCCTACTTAGATGAAAATATTGGAATTATAGAAACTTTACTTAAACATAGCATTGATGAAAAGAAAATCATTGGATGCTGACAAAGAGAAGGAACCAACAGGAATCCCAAATGCACTCTCTTAGCTTCCAGTATCCAACAAAAAGATCCATCTCAAACAGCATTCCACTTCTTTAGCCAGGTGTTCTCTGCGAACGATGTAACACAAGCAAGCACTTTTGGTTTAGGATCATGTATTAAGTTAATGGCTCTTCAGTTTGAAGACACAAAGTTTCTTTCCAAGTTAAGCACCAGCCATTGAATCAAAGTGTCACAAGAAATACATTGCTACACTTTTTAATAGTGCAAGGAATAAAGCTAAGAAAGAGTCGTTCTAATCAGACAATAAAGCAATGACTTACACTATTGTACTTGCTCAACTGATTTCTAACATAGAAGTTGATCATTTAGGCAAATCGAATACATACATTTTCAAACTTACAGTCCTTTTCAGAAGGATAATGAATGTGATGCGATGTACATGGCACTTGTGGTGCAGATAGATCGAAGAAAACGGTTTGAAAATAATATACCTTTCATTGGGGCATTCCTCCATGATTGCCAGGAACATTCAGTCTCACGGTTAATTGTGGCACTATTTAATACGATTATTGAAGGACCAGCTATCAAACATCAATTAGTAAAACCAAAAAATTAGAAAGCGTTGTCTATAGCACAGCTGTTGAAGTTTAACAGTATAAATCACAAACGGCAAGACACGATTTCTGTAACGAATAACATATACCCAGGAAGACCGTTACCAGATACCACTATACGTGGGAACAATGATGCCTTCTTAGAGAACTGTAGACAGACTTTCTGAATTACATCTATGGTGCAGGAAGGAGCTGAAAAGTGAAGGTGTTTGGCTAGACATGCAAATTTTGCAATGAAGATTGAAAGTATAAGGAGCTGCTAAAAGCAGCTTCCGTGCTGCAAAGGTATCTCAACCTAGGGGGGTCTGGGGACATGCCCCCAGAACATTAATATAATTTAGAGTAGCTATATAAGTCAAATATGTAAAAGTGGGATGCTGTAGCACCTCCGGTTCTGACGCTTCTGTACATCAATGGGTGTTGTAGATAATATAAACTTCCAATTAAACATTGGTTTTCGTGATAACATATTGTTTTACATCTTGACATTATATCAGAAAATAATTGTCGTATGTGCCTTTTCAAATATGGCAAGTGTCATGCTAGTTGTCAACAACGCACAATCCCTCTCACTCCGAAAAGAAAAATGAACTATGACGCCGGAATATTAGTAGTGCTTTGAAAAATGACAGTGCATATTTTTCTGCTATAATCTGTTATTGTTAAGCTGCCCATCTATTATCGACACGTCTAATATATTTGATAGTGATCTACTAGAATAAAAATTTTACTAGAATAAATTAAAAATGTATTTGTAAATGATAACAATTTAATTGAACATTATGAAACTATACTTATTTTATTATATGAGACTGAATATTTCTGATGAATCTATGTATATTCTGATGATAATTTTTAAACTAATTTTTTTTATAATTGATGTATATTTCTGATGATAATTTTATCTTCCATCTTCTAGTAACTTTCGGTATGATGAGCCCAGTAATGTACTACCACACAAAAGTAATAAGCGAGCTTTTTCTTGACAGTACATTCAAAGATACTCTAGGCAGCGTTAGAAGTTCAACTCAAGTTATCGACTTCTGGCGAGTAAGAAAGTTTATTTTACGCAATTATATACTATTTGTTGTTCAGTTAAAACATCAGTTTGTTTAAATTAAAATCTTGACAGTTTCATAATAGTACCGTTATACTGGTTTAAACTAATTTTACATGTATTAGATCGTCAAGAAATGAATGTCGCGTTTTGGAACATTTTTATTAACCACCCCTCAAAATACGTACATCACGTATAATAGTTAAACGAACTGCCTAAATATCACGTTAATGTAGTCTATATAAAGTGTAAAGTTTAGTATATTCTAATCTGTGCCTGGTATGGCCAGGTGGTTAGGGCGCTCGACTCTCACTCTGAGGGCCGCGTGTTCGAATCCTCGTCACACCAAACATGTTCGCCCTTTGATTAAGGTGTTCATCAGTGAAAATTGGGAGCATATCATCTGCTGCTGGCGCCCCCATAAAAAAAAATTATATTCTTTTCTAGTGATGTTACACACAACGAGACATGTAATTCTGTTTGAATACAAGAAGGGAAACAACGCCAATATCAAAGAAGTTTATGGAAATGTTTTGTACATTTCGTAAGTGTCAACGATGGTTTAGATCTTTCAGATGACTTTAGCATTAAAGACTGTGATGGCAGAGGCCGACATGTTGGAATTGATACTGATGGTCTGAAGACTCTTGTTGAGTCTAACCCAAAGCAACACACTCGTAAAATGACCCTGAAATTACATGTTTCTCATGAAATATTACGTAAACATCTAGGAAATATGGGAAAACTCCATAAAGAAGGTGTTTGGGTGCCTCACGAACTCTCCGGTGATCATCGTTTCCAACATGTTAACGTTGCCTCGTCTCTTCTGGCGCGTAAACTATTTTTGGACAAAATTGTCACCGGTGATGAAAAATGGATTCTTTATGCGAATATTAAACACCAAAAGCAATTGCTCAGTCTCAGACAAAAACCCCAAAACCTGGACTTCATCCGCAGAAAGTGGTTCTTTGCATTTGGTGGGATATCAAAGGAGTATTTCATTTTGAACTCCTCAATCCACAGCGAATTGTCATTGCAGAGATCTATAGTCAGCAAGCCCTTCATCAGAAACGCCTTTCACTCGTCAATCAGAAAGGTGTTCTTCTTCTCCACGACAATTCAGTCTACACGTGGCACGTTTAACGCAACACAAGATATGGAGTTGGGTTGGGAAGTTCTCCCCCACCCACCATATTCCCCAGATATGGGACCATCAGATTACCATCTAGTTCGTTGGCTGCAACACCATCTTAATGGAAAAACGTATGCAAATGTGGAAGGCGTTAAAGAAGACATCGACATGTTTTCTGCTTCAAAGTCAAGTGATTTTTTAACCAGGGCATTAACAACCTGATTGTAAGATGAAAAAGCATCATCGATAAGAATTTATTAAATTTCATTTAATAAATGTTTTGTTTTGATATATAAGTTGTTCGGGTTTTTTCATCTAAAAAAAGCGATATTAATTTCTTGACGACATAATATACGAACAAACGCAGTAGCTAGTTTTATTCGTGTAATAAAAAGTTTATCTGTGCAATTGTTTACAAACATTAACATCTCAATTTTCCTGTAGTTTCTGTTTAGTTCTTGTTTTTAATAAACTAAGGCAGGACATATTTTAAATAAAATCTTTAAGAAATATTAGCATTTTAAAATAACAATACCCCAATCGAAATGTGACATATATATGAAATGTGTAAAAATGTTTATGCAAAATTAACTGAAATAAAACAAGTTTAAATAAATTATCAGGAGGGTAAAAATTCAGCCATAGAAAAAACTTCCATGAGCATTAGTATATTAAAGTAATTGTTAAAAAATACATGATTATTTCAATCATCTGTTAACAATGACATGATAGTTATAAGGGAGCACATATAGTTTTGAAAATATTTATGTATTTTTCTTATTATTTTTGTACTGTAAAAATATTTCTAACCCATAGTTGTCTGATTTATTTAGTTTGTTGACTATGTTATGCTGGATAATCTGTATTGGGAAAACTGGTACAACAATGATCCAGCAACTTCAAACGATCGTAACATCCTGTATGAGAATCGACTTTTAGGTTCTCCTCGACTCAGGCAGTTACGAGTGAGAAATGACTCTTGTAATGTACATGATGATTTTTCCACAAGTATTTTGACGTGCTTTGATACATACTCCCCAGAAAAGGAGGATAAAAAACCTTTCGGCTTGCAGAATGGAACAGCGTAAGTTAACTAAGAAGATCTAAACTTGTAAAGATTAACAGATCTGTCTTAATATGCCCCTCACGAGCCAGTGGGGGACATTTTTGTTGAAAGAAACAAAAACTACCAAATCCGGTTTTTCTTAATTTGAACTGAAATTTTTGGCCGTGTTTATTGGCTAAAAAAAGAAGGCATTTCCCACACTCTTTTAGCGTTGGGGCTGCGTAAAGTAATTTGAAGTGGTAAGGTAACTGAGCATCACGAGTTTAAAGACCAAGCACAAGAAGCATGAAATTCTACAAATGATAGGCAGAGGTATTCAGGATCGTTTAGAACCACCATGGTAGATATTGTGCAGCGAGCTGAGTACAGTATTATGCCCGTAGCTGTTTTCAAAGTGTTCCTGTCTGCTCATCCTACTGCTAACTATCATGATGCTTCGATCTTCCCTACCGAATCATAGGTGAAATCGTTCGTATCTCAATTGAAGGCTAAGCATTAAAAGCTGACAGCAGTTGCTTAATTAATGATGCTGAAAATACTGGATTTATTGATATATACTGAATTTACTCCAAGCGGGTAGACCTTAGTACTAGCTAGTATGGAGACTTAAAGATTCTGTATTTCACTCTAAAATTTGATCAATTAACAAACGAAAACTTTTCTCGAAAACATACGTCCAAAACCACCCTTTTTGGGAATTTCCGGATTGAATTTACTTTTAATATTCAACAAATTGTAGTGTAAAGACACCCCTTGGCTCCTGAGGGACGTTTTTAAAAGTAAAGCAGATAAGTAATCGATAATTAAAACAGGTCTTTTGTTTAATTCAATGGAAAAGTTTAGATAAAATGTGTTTGGCCATAAATTAAAGAGAGCTATAAATCCGTATATGTGTACCAGATACATTGAACACCAAGCTATGTAAATGAGCACATTAAAGCTTTCAACCAATAAGATAATCTTACTATAACGGACGTAACGTGTGTATATGCATCTATGTATGTATGTGACCGAAATAATAAATACAATGTGGCGCCATCTATTGAAGGGTACCACAAACACAAATCCATAAAAACATTTCACACTTTGGGTATTCAAGATTTAGACAATTAGAAAAATAACTGTGGTATGTGCAACAACTATTTCTTTATAATAGAACACAATTTTAAATAAAAGTACTCTCTTTACAACCAGAACACGATTTTCACTAGGGCTGTACGTGAGGGTTTGATTATATCTTTATTGATGTAACTTTTAAATGTAGTACTGAGAACCTGGAGTTCTTAAAATAAACGGTACAACTTATAACATATAAAAACATTACAGTTTAAATCATTAAAATTTATGAAAATTTTGAGCTCTGTACATTGAATCATTTTGATGCAATGAGTTGGGTTTGACCAAAGAGCATAATCCGAACACTTTTCCTGTGCAGTACTTCCCAGAAAAAAATCCTTTTTTAGAAAATGTTCACTTTTTCTAAGCTTTTTTTCAATGAGGTATGAATACTACAATTAGTAATTACTAGCACAAACAGCCTCCATAGGGCAGCATTTTTGTTAGTAATTAATAAAAGTACAAAAAGTAAAACTTGGTAATTTAAGAAATCAGTCTCTAAAATTGAACATGCTTTCTGTGGGGAACTTTATATTCATAGTTTATGTAATTGTGCTTATACTGTGTTTTTGGTTGTGTAAAGTATAAGTTTCCTTTAGCAAGTAAAGGCATCACTGTAGGAGGTGAGTGACTGTTTTTAGCCAAGTTTATTTGAAGAAAGTTTTACTGCTTTGATTTTATTGTTTAAACAAGGTTTACTTGGTACACCTTATTTTCCTTGAACTTACACAAATTACTAGTGGGATATATAAAATTGTTTTGAGGTAAAAATGGTCAAAGGTAATTTCTTTTATCATATAATCCCAACAACTTCTTAGCATTTTGAATTATTTTTGTATATTTTTTTGCTTTGATTAGATGGCGATATACTACAGAAAAACAGTTGAATGGGTCCACCCACTGGGGCAGACTTGCCACATACAGTGGTGCTGGATCATACGTAGATTTGGGAACTACAAAACAGAAAGCAAAACAAATCATGGATGAGTTACGAGACAACCTGTGGCTGGGCAGAGCAACAAGAGCAGTGTTTTTGGACTTCACTGTCTATAATGCAAATATAAATCTTTTTTGTGTTGCAAAGTAAGATATTTTATTATATGGTGTTCATAGTGCAACATCATTCTTATCATTTTTATGGTCTGAGGTATTATGTTTAAAAATGTCATACTGACATATTATCATCTACTGTCACAAACTGAAGTACCACAACTACCTTTTCCTTATAACTAAATGAAGTATTATACCTATCACTTGTTATGTTTCTTATAAAGATTTTTAGATTATAACAATCATATCATAAATTAGACATCAAATTATTTTTCTGTTACTAAATAAAGTATCACAGAGCTGTACATCTGTTATCATCTTGTGTTGTTAAGCGAGGATACATACAGCTTTATCACTATCATTATTTAGTGATTCTAAGTGAAGTATCACCCAGCTTACCACTATTAGTATATAATGTTGCTAAAAGAATTATAAAATAATTAGTATTTGTTTTACTAGATGAAATATCATTGAGCTCTGCCACTGTTTTAACTTATGCTTCTAAATAATGTACAAAACTAAAGTATCTTTGTTTATTGGGTTTTTTTATTCTTATTATTAATACATATTTGCTTCTCTACTAGGATTGTGTTTGAGTTCCCTGCCACTGGAGGGATGATATCTTCATGGACTTTTCGTACAGTCAAGCTGCTGCGTTATGTAAACCCCTTTGATTATTTCATCATGGGCTGCGAGTTCTTGTTTGCAGTATTTATTGTGTACTACATAATAGAGGAGGCCATTGAGGTAAATTTCTGTATTTTTGAGATGCAATTTATGACCAACCAAAGGAATTATTTATGTCTAGAAATATTAGTGTTACATTTCAGATTACATAAAAAGAAAAAAATTAACTTGTTTTCCTTTTTTTTGGTTATTTGGTTTCTTTCTACCTATAAAAAGAAATCCTTTTTAAACACTCTTTTAACTTTAAAAGAATTTAAAACTCTGAATATATCTTTATGTTTGAGAGATGGTAATTAATATAATTTTTATCAAAGTAATTTTTACCATTAAAAAAAAGAACTATGATTTACTAAATTACTGTATGGTGAATTTGTAGATCAAACAAAACAAGTGCAGTTATTTCAAGTCCATTTGGAACATCCTGGATATTGTAGTGATCTTGGTAAGTAAAGTTTTAGAGTTATCAGTATTAAAATTGGTTCTTTAATATTTTGATTATGTTAAATGTTGTACATAATTTTATGTGGATCTGGAAGGACAAAAGAATCACATTTGTTAATAAACAGCCATATTGAAAGAGAGAGCCACTCTTGTTTAATTTTTTTTGATTAACTCTTTTCAACTGTTTTATAGCATCAGAATATTATTTAAATCATTATTGTTTTACAAACTGTCAACTAGATCTCGCCATGGTAAGTGATAAATGATTATTGCTATTGTGTGATAATTGAGTTATACTATTAAATGGAAGTTGGATAAATATTAACCTGCAATTAATTCGTTTTGTTATCAGATATTAAAAGGTATTAGCAAATTAATCTTCTCTAAGTGATAAGTAGTACAGAGGGTTGAGTACACTGTATTAAAACTATTTTGAAATCTCACCACATTTTTACAGTCTATGTCACCACATTCTTTCATGTTCTGTCTGATGAGTGTGCATTTTGACGATAGTCCTGCACAATAGTTTCCAGGTCTAAAGGCACTGCTGTAAGGCTGTTGTGTCCAAAGCACACTACTTTTCTGTCTTTGCTTTCCATAATCAACCTATTGTTTCAACTGTCCAGTTGCACAGAAATGAACAGGCGCTGCATCTGGCAATGTGACCAATATGTCTTAATATGGAATAGCATGAATACCTGTTTCATTCTTCAGCTGTTTGAGGGAAAGGAAGTATGACTGACATTCTTATTTTGGTGAACTCATATTCTGTTGGGCAGGGAAATCCTTCTTGATGATGTTGCGTACTGTTTTTGCCACTGATCTTTATGTTTGTGGTTTCTTGCCTGTTAAAACACACAGCACATGCTTACCATGGTTGAGGTATGACTTGTTACAGGTCTCTTTATGGATAGTCTTGATGCTTATCCATCTTCTTTTGTTTTATAATGCAAGTACAAGTGATATCCCCATCTTGGAAACTAAATTCTTGATCTGAAACACCTCTTTATGATGTAAGTGTTTGAATCTTTTGCATCAGAAATGGTTATTACATTCTCTACCCAAAAGCAATCAGTTTTTGGTAGCATAACATTACCTACGAATGCTCAACAATGTGAAAATGTAGTTCTATTACATGCCATTGCAACTTTACATCAGCTGTGGTTGTCACATGACTTGCTTGCTTCCATATTCAAAATCATTTTAATATAACTTACTCAACCTTGTATTCCTTTGCCAATATGTATGATTATACCATAAAGAAAAATAAACATCTTTAGTTGCAATATACAACTAACAGTGATGTACAATAATGACATTTGGACTTGTTACAAGTCTCTATTGAATATTGTAATCTATCTCTATTTTATGTCACTGGTGTATTCTTACGTTCTCTTATATGATGTTATGTATTTATTCTTTCAGATATCAGTGATGTGTATTGCCTTTAGCATTTATCGAACTATGATGGTGGATAAATTGTTGGAGGGATTGTTAAGTAAACCGGATGATTTTCAGGACTTCGAATTCCTGGGATTTTCACAAACTCAGTTCAACAATGCTGTAGCTCTTGCTGTATTTTTTGCTTGGATAAAGATTTTCAAATACATTAGCTTCAACAAAACAATGACCCAGCTGTCATCTACTTTATCACGAGTTAGTTTCTCTTAAGTATTGAAACATCCATTACTTGTCTATTTACTATGAAAAAAAAAGGTTTTGGTTTTATCTCATAAGTACATTTTCAAAGGTAATGAACCAATAACAAATGAAATAAGAATATATATGTCATAGCAGAATGTTATTCTTGTTAGCTATATATTTTTTTACTGTTGTAATTTGCTTGTTAGCTAAAGGGAGCTGTGATTCATTGATAATAAATGTTAAGTTCTGGTAGTTAAGGTTATCTGCACTAGCCGTCCCTAATTTAGCAGTGTAAGACTAGAGGGAAGGCAGCTAGTCATCACCACTCACCGCCAACTCTTGGGTTACTCTTTTACCAACGAATAGTGGGATTGACCGTCACATTATAATGCTCCCATGGTTGAAAGGATATGCATGTTTGTTGTGATGGGGATTCGAACCCACAACCCTCAGATTGCGAGTCGAGCGCCCTAACCACCTGGCCATGCCGGGCCAAAATTGCTAAGGATGTGATGAAAATTCAAGTATATTTGAATATTGATTATATAACAACATGCTCTTAAGTGTTAGTAGAGTTGATCTGAATAGAGAGTTATTTTAAGAGTAATAACCTCCACCATTGAAGGTGGATGGAGGTTATGTTTTCACCCTTGTGTGTGTGTGTTTCTCAGCAAGATTTCTCGAAAACAGCTGAATCGATTTGGACAAAAGTTGGTATACATTTGGACTATGAACCAACTTAGAAGTGGCTAGTTGTTTTGAAGGTCATAGGTGTAGGTCATAGCAAGGTCATGAAAATTCACAAAATTCCTACCTGTTACTCTGGGTACCAATTTTTCACACTATTTTTGCTCTATAACTCAGTCAGAAATGACCAGATTTTGATTAAACTTGGTGTACATGTGCAAAATATTATTCCTCAATGTCCTGCCAAATATGTTCCATTGATAAAGACAGGCATACTGATACATTTTCGAATTTTTTGAGAGCCAAATATGATCAATGCTGAGTGGCAGAGGTATGTGCTCCACTGAGTGCCTCTCTTGCTTTCAAGAGTGAATCTGTGTTACCTATTTCTCCACTTTGTACAAGGGAGTTGATTTCTACGTTGTGTAGTACAGTTGGAGTGGCTGAAAACTTAGGCCAACAAGTTACAACATTGATACGGCTTCTAATACAGTTATAAGAAGAAATAACTTAAAATGACTTCAAATGTTGAAGGTGGTGAGGATGAGGTCATGTAGTGTGATCCAAGCATTACTTGAGATGATAAATTATTAAGACAAGATAAAGAAGAAAATAGATAAAAATTTAAATGACCAAGAAGAAATGAATAAGAAATTAGAAAAGGATCTAGAGGAAGGAGATAGGAAAATAAGAGAAGAACAACAAGAACATTGCAAGAATTTAAGAAAGGAATTAAAAGAAAAAGAGAACTATTTAAAGAAGAATTAAAATCAAAAATTAATTTGATTGAAGAAAAGATTGACATATGGCAAGGCTGTAAAGTCAAACGTGAAGTAAAGAAAGACATCAATGAGGAAGAAAAGAACAACAGGGACAGAATAAAACATCTGTAAAATTAGTTATTAAATGCAAAAAAGTAAATCAGCCACACCTTTTTCTGCATTTACTCAAGAGTTCCAACCTAAAACACCATATGCAAGATATGCATGGTATAAGAGAACTTGTATGATGTCCACCTATTACCACTTCTGCTTAACCAGTCATTAATGAAAAGGCATTCCTGGTCTGTTTCAGACATAATTTTACTAAATCCATAGTTTTACCTGGCCAATTCAACACTATCTAATTAAGAGACCAACAGATAATGATGAGAAGGTACCATGGGAGTCATACCACCCTTATTTTGAAATCATTTCTAGAGTTAATGGGTGGAATAGTGAATAACAAGCCATCCATTTTGCTGTCATAACAACTACCAAGCATTGATACCCACCTTGTCCAAGAGGTTTGAAATGTTGTATAAGAAAGAAGTATCTAAAGCAAATTTCCAGAATAGGGTTTGGAGAAAGAAAAGACCTTAACTTAACTTGTAAAAGATTTGGAAAAGCTTTCCCAGACGCTTCTAATGAGATGATAAACTTGTTGGCATGTGACTAATTTATAGATGCTATAATAGACGAGAATGTGAGGATCAGGCTCAAGCAGAATAGATGTATATCTCTAAAGGATGCTCTGCCATTGTCAAAGGAATCTATCAAAGTTGCAGGTGAACTACTAACTGGGCCATCTAGAAATATTAGATCCTGTATTACTGAAACACCAAATCCTCCTAAGAGTAGTGTAAAAGAACTGAAAGAATTAATCACGCAACTAGTTAAGGGGTGTTGCAAAATAACTCTCACTTTTTTCCACAAAGTAATGACGAACTTGGTAGAACT